GAACAAAGTTATAATACCCTTGTGCACAAGTGCGCTCGTGTATAAAAAGTCAAAATAACTACAAACATACTCCTGCTCATAGTAAATACACTCGTAGTTTTGTATGTAACGTATACGCCCAGTAGCACCGCACCCAGTCAGATAACACATTTACTCGCTCGCCTTAACTTAAAGTCATATTATTTTGAAAGTAATTAAATATTGGCGTGGAATATTTTTCTACAGTATTCTTTCCGAACAATTTCAGAATGAATTTCGAATTTGGCAATAAAAATGGGAAAATTGGAATTTTTGTCAAGCAAATTATCGTCATCTTATAATCAATGTATATTTTCCATTTGGTGGCATATTAGCTTTATTGCTCTAGATTGATTCGTTTTGGCAAGAACAACCTTTTCACCGCTCAATGTTGATGTTATGAAGTACCTTAAATTTTTTAAATGAAAAAATCGTTAAATTTCAAAAATTACATATTCCGCATGCTACCATTTTTTTCTTATTTAGTGGCACACTCTTGAAACTTTACAGATATGTTGTATTTGATGCAAACCTTCATTGNACAAATAATTTCATTGAGGACGAGTGGCAGGCAGGGCGAAAAGCTTTAGGTGTGCGAGAGCAAGTATAATTAATTGCATCGATTTATTTTCATGACTTCATGCAACATTTGACCTCACCGCTGTACTACCGGTCATAAGTTAAAAGTAATTAAGCCACATTAAATTTTAGCTAAATTTGTAGGCCATTTATGTACACATATGTATATACATTCATTTTATAGGATTGCTTGAAATAGTTTAATTTAAATATGTGCTCGTTTGTATTATGCTCTGCACTTAAAGTGTTTCTAAACACACAAATAAACAAATTAATAGCTTTAATTTAGTCAAAAATTTTAAGTGTAAATATTATTTGGAAAATACCATAGAAAAGCGATAGCCTCAATTCAACGATGTGTACAGAAAAAATCAAATTGTACCTCGAAAATACCTTTTATTGAAATTTTCGTATAAATATTTTTATATAGTAAATAATGCTTTTAAAGCCTAAATTTCTTAAATTTACATTTCGACTTACATAGTCGTTTTAGAAATACACAAATTTTATTTTATTTCTTGGCCACAACAAAGAACATTTCCTCCCTGCCCACAAAAACTCACACCAAGTACATTTTCTACTTGATTAATTTTATTTTACTCATTTTTGTGTCCATTGGCCACACTAAGCTCATTTGTATTCCCTTTTTCTCTCGCCTTATCCTTTCGCTTTTTTTTCTTCTTATACACATCATCACTTCTTATTTGTATACGTGCACACATACCTACCTAAATATTCGTATATACATACCGACTTATCTGCAAGCAAACCACAGCAATAATTTGGCAATAAATGAGTAAACCCTCAAACTGAAATATCCGCATATAAACACCCACACTGCACTGCCCCGCCATCGTTAAGCGGTCATTTGTATTGCGCCCTCTTATTGACTCTTCTTTATGTAACAAATGATTACTCGAATGGTTGAGTAGCTGCTGTTTTGAGTACGAAGAAAAACCATGTGCGAAACTAACAAATAGCAGTAATGGATAATGGGTGGCAGAAAGTGGCATTGTCCGAAGGTAATAGAGATTACTCACTCACAACTCGACTCTTTTACTTGATAATTTTGTTAATGTAGCTGAAGGTAGTGCACACCCTTGCCACATATTTATCGCACGCCTACAAGTAACTAAATTTTGTTTCTGTTTTTAGTTGTATGACTGCAATAATATTAAGTCTAACGACGAAGTGAAAATGTTTTTGTAGGCAAATTGTGTTTGTGGAATCGCTGAGATGTCAGTGAACGCTATTTCACCAATTGATTTGTTACAATCGAAAATACTACATGGCAATAATTACTTAAATTATATTTAGCTTTTGAGCGAGGTATGCTGTTTTTTTATTTCAATTAGTTCCACTACATAGATCGAAGTGCATATCCTAGGCCATATGTACATGCATATGTATGTATATGGGGACATCGATGTCGCTCTAAGTAAAATATGTACATACTTTATGTACACATTTCAATACCAATGGGAATACGAATACAAATACGAATACGAATACAAATTCGAATATGTATTATATCAATACGAATATAAATATGAATGCGAATATAAATACGAATACAAATATAATACGAACCCGATTTCGAATATGATTACGAATAAGATTTGGAAGACAATCATGAATGTGATTACCAATGCGATTGCGAATACGAACACGAATGCGAATACGATAGCGATAGCAAATAAGATTACGAATACGATTTTGAATGCGATTGCTATTACGATAAGAAAGACGAATGCTATTGCAGATACGATTACGAATACAATTACGTTTACGCTTTCGATTACGAACACCATTTCGAATACGATTACAATGTTACTACGATTACACCTACGAATTCGACAACGATTACAAATATAATTACAAAATACTACTTCGGATACGATTACTATTACGAAAACGATTACGAACACGAATTGATATGAACTCGAATGCAATTTTCATTTCATTTTTTATATGCATATGCGGATAATAAAATAAATATAAATAGCTGGTAACCCTATTCAAACATATTTTCAAACTAAAGTGGTTTTGGAACTTTTTCGCTTCACGCTCATATTTTAATGTGTTATTTAAATTGTGTATAAGTTGAATAACCCTGGCAACCCCTTTTAAACGTATTTTCAAACTAACATTTTTTCAAATATCATTGATCTGACATTGTGATACATATTTCAATTTAAACCCATTTCAATTGATACCCATCTTTCAATTTATAACTTTTCCAACAGATGCCAAGCCTCCTCAAAAAAAAAAATCGAAATGTTCAAACTAAAAATTTCTTAACACTCACAGCCATATATTATTATTTCACATAATTCTTTTTAAGTTAAGTAAATTCGACTTTTAAAATAGGTGGCAACCCCTCTCAAAAATAGTGTCAGAGTAAAATCTGTTTCCTTTGACATTGTGGTACATATTTCAATTATCTCATGAATTAAATTGAATTTGATTTTTTAACATGTGGCAACTCTTCGAAATATAGTTCAGAACTAAAGCCTTTTCAAACCCATTTTGATAAATATCTACTCATCTTATAATAATTTATTTATCTTATTAAATAATTTGAAATTAACATTTTAAGCCGGTGGCAAACCACTTCAAACACATCAAAACTAATCTAAATGTTCAAACTAAACTAATCTAATTTAATATAATTTAATAAGATTGAACTTTTTTAGGTGGCAAGCCTGCTCAAAATATTTTCAAACTACTTCGTCTGGCACCCATATATCACCATATTTCAATTGACTCCCTTAGGGCAAAAAAAAAATAATAATAATAATCAAACAGTGCATAATTAATTAAAAAATATTAAAGAAATATAAAATATAAATTTTTTAATGCAAACGATTATTTATTTAAATCGATCTCACACTCTAATGGAAAGCTACTTATCTGCAAAAAATTTAAAAAGGATACTTCTCTGAAAGTTCAAAATTTTGGATTTCTTCTTTTTGAGATTTTCGAATATCCTGACGAAATAAAAAATAAATGTTTTCTTTTGTTCGATTAGGAATGTAAAAAAAATATATTTTATACAAAAAAAAAAAATATTGAGGTGTAAATTTTGCATGTCATAAATATAAATGCACCACATTTTGAGAAGTTTTAACAATTTACCTTTTTGTTATTTAATTTTACTTATTTTTTTATAAAAATAAAGTTTATTCTTTAAGAAAGCCGAATAAATCCACGTTTCAAACCGTGTGCAATATTTAAAAAAATTCAACAAACTTTCGTAACAATTTCTAGCTTCTTAATTAGATTCCTAAGGAATGTTTGGAATATGCAGTTTTAAAGCGCATTCAATTTTAGTGCAAGTTTGAAGTAGCTAAGACTTACCGTTGATTTGTGGTTTTTTTTTTTTTTGTTCAAGATGTGGCTCATTTTCTGCATACAAAAAATTATCGAATACACTGACACTGCCAAAAAAAAATCAAAAACTAACAGTAAGTTACTTCAAACTTCTTTTTATCTTTTTAAGAAATCTAAATATAAACCTCGACATTTTTACGGAAGTTTGTTGAAATTTTTTTTTGTAAGATTGCACAAAGTTTGGATTTATTCGGTCTTTGTTAAAGAATAACCTAAATTTTTATAAAAAAATAACTAAAATTAAATAACAAAAATATAAAGAGTTTAAGCTTGTTAATATGCGATGTGTTAAAAATTTTACAAGGGTGTAGCTGCTATCATTTAACCTAGTGCTACCAAACAATTACCCAGTTATCTTTCAAATCATATTTTTTAATTAAATGTTTTCCAAAAATTGAGTTGCATATAAAAAAAGTACACGTAGTCTTTTTTCTTTACCTTTTCAGTCAAACGACACTTGAAACACCTTCGTAAGCCGTCACTAAGTTGCTTAAGATCCAATGCGTACATTTAGTTTTAGTAACAGTAGATTTTTACTAATAAATCTATATATAAGTACCAGGATGCCTTGGTTAGTCATTAATGTAAAAATATTTAGTTGGTAATGGTAAAAAAGTTAAAAATAAATGAAGGACAATAATAACAGCAAAGCAATAAAACTGTCAAGCAATAAAAATGACAAACCGATGTGAGCAAATCGTAAATGGATACACGTGTATATATATGTATGTGCGCAACTACACTCATACATAGATACACTACATGCGTGCCAACATATGGCTAAAGCAGCTATCAAATAAGTAGAAAACTTTACCACGACCGCATTTATCATGATTGTCCCGCATCCTTAAGCGCTCGCCGCATTGCCTTGGCCGTGTCACAAAAGTCCCTAAAGCAGTTGGACAACCGCATTCACGCTTTATGTGCGCAACGAAAATGTTAAATCCTTACACAATCCTGTATCCCAGTATGACTATAGAGACACACGGCTCGAAAAATAAAAATGGCATACCATGCTTTTTTTTGCATTTGAAAGGATAAAAATAAAACCCTAAATACGAGTACATACATACATATGTATATCTGTTCGTATATGTATGTATTTGTATGTACCTATATATACTTCAAAGATTTGTTAATGATTTGCGCAAGATTTTTCCGTCTTTCCTTTTGTTGCAGTTGATAATGTCCCAAAAGCAGCACATAAAAGTAAAAGCTAAGCTGTCAAATTGTCGCTTTTTAGGCTTACACGTGGGCTTATGTAACAACTTTTGGGTAGAGTAACAGATTTTGTTATCATATCGTGCGGCCTAAGATAATCACACTGGCCGAACAATTAAAGCTGGATAAGGGATAACTCATTTATGGGGATAAAAGCAATTGAAGCGAAACTTTTTTTTTACGTTTTCTTTTGACAAACCGAAAAAGGTTAAGACAGGCATGTGTACTTATGTTAGTATTTACGAAAACCTACATATATATACGTATATATTTATAGGAAAAGACAAATAACTGGACCAATTCATCCTTTGTGATTATCTTTTAACAAAATTAAGAGCCCTTTCACTTTAAAAGATATCCTTTTATGTCTACTCACTCTGATTGGACTTCGTTTTTTTTTATTGCATTGATCAAACTTACCTGAAAATAGAAAACAAATAAAAAGTTATTAAATTTTACTCAACAATGTTTTTTTTTAATTTAAAAATACACTAATAAGGTAAAAAAAGAAGAATATGAGAACCAGTGATGCCCAAAATTTGCAAATGCCTGAAAAGTTTTACAAACCCAAAAATGCAAGAGTACTTATGGCGCGAGCATCGCTGAAAATAGAGTTTTTCAATAAAATTTAAGTTAAACAGATTCATCATAAAAAGGATGAGTGCTGCTCTTAAAGAATTTACCACAAAGCCACAGAGGCCAATTGCCGTGCCTACAAGCGTTAACACAAATTTATCCCGCCAAAGCAAGTCAGTTCTCTGTCACAGTAAAGGAAGTGGTTCGCTCTAGCGTTCAGTGCCCGTAGTAAGTCGTATGTATATGTAGATATATTCCACTTTGAGAATCTCAGAGAAGTCTAAATTGTTCAGCTTTGCAGTCAGTCGATTGTCAGAATCGCTTAAAGTAAATAAGGTGTTCTCACTAGTTGTGAGAATAACTACAATAGAATTTAAATCGATATCCATTTTTGTTCAGTCTATATATCTGTGTTCGTATGGAAAAGTAGCTTATGTCGAAAGGCTGACTTTAATATAAATCGGCATTTGCAGTATACGATTGCGAATGACTCGCTGGCGCTGAGCCGTTGAACAACTTTTGGCAAATAAACGTGCAAGAAATAGTTCCGATACTAGAAAGTCAATATTCCTATTAAGTCTCGTCAAAACATTCCTTGTCGTTTAAAGAATAAAAGGAATGCCGCATTATACTAAAGCCAACCTTTCGACATAAGCTTCTTTTCCATACGAACACAGATATGTACAAGAGTGCCTTATTATCGCCTGCAAGAGCAGTATTCGTTGATGTTGTACCCCATGGCATATCACCACTTCTTTTCTTTTCAAAATGGGAAGAAGGGATCTACTGTACTCACAACATCATCATTTCTCCAGGAAAATGTAGACCCGCGGTTATTTAAAGAGCATAGAAGGCTTCTACATATTTCATACTTTTCCGGGAACAAAATGAGTTCGATTTAAGGAAAAATGCTTTTAGGCGACTAATAACATCAAGCGCCTAAATACATGCAATGCATTTATGCATGCTCAAAAATTTCTTTTATGAAATAAAAAAAATAAATAAATTGGCATCTGCACTTCTCAAGTGTCGTATAAAAAACTTTCCTAAAGTAATAAGTTGATGCCCTGCAAAGCATGCTCAGCCTAGGCTGAGGCATCCTCCGGACAATGCTTCAAATTTTTTTTGCGCCTCTACATGGCTTACAACCAGGTAGTAGTGGATGTTTACCATTGGTTACAGTATTTGTCCACCTCCTTTTTTATCCAATAAATATAGTTTTTGTATGCATACATGCAAATAGCCTGGCTTCCCCTCTCACAGAGTTATGTAGTCGTTTTCACCGAACTATAAACTATCTGGTTACGCATTTACCGTAGCATCCTAGCCGAGAGTTTGTAGAAGAATTTTTGTTTTAGAAGATCAAAGGAAACTATGCTAATATGCGATTCAGGTCCTTATAGGTGCACTTCATAGCCTTACTTAACCATTTCGGTAGATATTTAGCTCGATCACCAAAGCGCCCTTCTTTACAGTTACCCAAACAAGCATGTATTCCGGACCTGGTTTCGTAGGCAAAAGCCCTCGCTGGTATAATGACATCAAACCTTCTAGGTAATATAATGATCGTCACTCAATCTATATTTATAATAAAATTATAAACGGCCGATATCTGTACATTATAGATGCTAAAGAGAAACTAATTTGGGGGGGTCCTTATTATAGCAACAAAAGCCAAGTCAACAATTTTTAGAATTTTTGTCTCTCTGTGTGTTACTCGAAAGCTAATGCATGTCACTTTTCACAGAGGCATTGCTAGAGGTCTACCTTAAAATACAGGAAAAAATAATTAGAGAGTTGCCACCTGTTTGAGAATGTCAGTTAAAAAAATATATTACATAAAGTAAATATTGCAATATGACTATCAAAATAACTAGCTTTAAAAATGCTTACAGTCGAAAATGTTTTTTTAAGGTTGCCACCTGTTTGAAAATTTTAATTTGATTAAATTGATAAGATAAATTAAATATTGCAAAATGGGTATCGAACTAAAGAGGTTTGAGAAAGTTTACTGTCGAAAATATTTTTATAGCGGGTTGCCGTCTATTCGAAAAATTTAGTTCAGTTAATAAGATAAGGTAACTACTGAATTAATGCAGCTTTGAAGAAAGTGCACGATATGTAGAATCGAGTTAAAAGATTATAAACTAAATTTTCAGCATTAAATACCTTCCAGTATATATTAACTTACACACGCATTCATAAAAAATAAAGTAGTTTCATAAATCGAAAATTTATTCGAAATTCTCACATCATAAAGCTCTTCAGGTTTTCTCAAGTATCTTTTAAAACTTATTTGCTCTTCAAACGCATCTTTTCAGAACAAAATTTTACATAAATTTTAAACCCTACTTGAGAAAATGATTCCAAATCTATTTTATTTTTAATGAATGAGGCCATAAGAGTTTTGGGAGGGAGTAAGAATACAAAGATTCTTTTAAGATGCAGTGTAGCACAGCGGGTATTTGATAGTACTCAATAAGAATATCTAGTATCTCTAAGCCAGGTAGGATCGTCACCATTTTTAACGTCCCAAGGATTTCAGCCTAAATAAGTTGACGCCTTAATTGTGCGAAGCCAACGTCTGCAATATTAATCACAAAATGTTTTTGAGTGTTTGAGTTAGTATTCTCAAAGATACTCTGTATGTAGGTCGCCGTTAGTGTTGCCAGATTTCTTTTCAAAAAACTGTAAATTTCCGAAAATAAAACTGTATTTTCGACCCAGACAATGTAGCCCTCAAAAATGAAGAGTTAAAAAAAATGTATTTTATTGAACATAAATAACCGAAAAAGATTAATTTAACATTAAAAAAATAAACCGTTTAAATTATAACTTACTAAACAAAAATTACTTTATAAAAATTGATAATTTAAATCAAATTTTGTATAACTCAAATTTGGCTTCTTTATTTTTCGTAAAATGCTTTGATAATTTTTTTGAACATTTCATTCGATACCGCAAATTTAGTAAGTACCTGAGCATTTTTTAAGGAAATTTGTAATTCTTAATATACCAGCGAGTGCTTGAATTTCTAGTTTATTTCCGGTTTTTTATGTACACATGTACTGGCTTTTATCTTAAAAATTTTGAAATTTGTATTTATTCGTTCAACTTGGAAGTTTCGAAAAACTATAATTGGTACTAGGAGGTAATTTAAACAACTGCAAACTTGTCTAAAAAAACTGTAATTTACAGTTAAAACTCAGCATCGGGCAACATTTGTCGCCGTACATCCGTCCAATGTTCTACTCTTTTTGCGAATCGCCCTGATAACACGCAAAATGTTTTGTATTTCTTTAAACGCCGCGTACTCCTTGCACAAATTCGCTGTTTCTTGTTCTTTTAATAAATGGTGGCATATTTGATTGTATTTTAACTGTGGACACCTGTGCTTCGAAATTAAGATTTCTTGCTAGTTGCTTTTTAAATATTTCTCATACCTACTTCAAATCATTTCACCTTGAGTAATGTGTGTTAGAGATAAACAACAAATTTTTGGAAAAGTAATTTGTCAAGTAGCAATCGTGCTTCAAAATAATTCGGATATTTTCCTCATGAATGTTTGCCGAGGAGCATTTGTGACAAATTCAATTTTGCAGGTAAAAAATACCGAGTGCGGAGGACGAAAAATATCCAATAGTTTTGAAGTACGAGCATATGGTATACCTTTTCAGAGTTAAACAAAATAAAGATTGAGAATTATAGGTTAAAAACATTGGTATTAATCATTTTGTCCTCTCGAAATAATCCCAAAAATTTCAGAAAATCCTGAAAGAGCCTGAAAAAATGACCAAGGGATATCGAAAAGACCTGAAAAAATATATAAGAACAGTTCCGGATATTACCACATCTTCTCGAAAAATCCCGAAAATTAAAAAAAAAAAACAAAAATCCTAAAGAGCTTCAAGAACACCCCACAACATCCGGAGAAAATCTTGTTACATCTCCTAAATATTTCTTTGTTTAAAATACTCACTTTGTTACTGTGTGAATTCATGCTACTTTTCAGTTGCCCTTAGGACAGATTGTTAACACACCAAACAACATTAATCGATATTTTGTATGCATTCTTTATCGTATGTATTTTCACATGTACGTTCCGCATTTACAACAGCCAGCACACGTAATTAAACGTTTTAATGTGTGTATGCTGCAGGCGAAAGAAAATTTGATCAAGGACATTTTTCTCCAGCACATCAATGCAATGGAATGCTGAAATATGTGGAACTATTTGTAGTAATGGCAGTGGGCGTTGAAGGGGACATGCCAAGCATATGTGTGTGTGTGTGTGTGTGTGTGTGTGTACTATGTAAGTACACCCACATATAAGAGCGCTTGCCCAGAGGTAACTAATGAGCGCACTGACTAATTGAATTAAACTACACGTAATTATTTTCAGTTCAATGCCTCTGTCAACCAGCTAAATATCTAAGTATGTACTATATGTAGGTATTTTCGTAGTAATACGATGAGCTGTTGAGTGGGCAAATGAACATTTAACGACTACTCCTTGAGCGTGTGAATGAGCAACTGAAACATAGATGTCAAACATCCGAGCATTTCCGGCAAATATGCAGCTTACAACAGAAATTAAAAACTCACATATGTATGTGTGTATGTGTTAACAAAAAACCGATGTAATGCGCGAGTTATGAGTCCTTGTTAGGAATTAAAAGTACACAAGAGATTATTTCAGTCTCGTTTTATTTCCAGAACTGTTTTCCATTTTTACACTTACATCTATTTATACTATTTCTAACTATTGTTTGTTTGGTGATAAAAAGATGTTTACATGTTTAGCATTATGTTATCATAATGCTTTGTTACTTATCACCGAATATAATTGTTTATGTTATTAAAAAGATGTTTACGGGTTTATACTTGTCTATCGTATTCTCTTTGTTATTATGTTATCATACAAGGTTAAAGGGCATATAGTTGTTTGTATGTATTTTGGTTCGTGAATAATGATTATATGTATATGTGTATGTATCTAGTGTTTAGGTTAGCGTCGTTAACTCGCGCACGTGTAGCTGCACATGAATAAAAAAAAGACACGAATACAAAGTCAGCTATGCTACATATGCACATACGCCCAATTTTGCTCGATCTCTGAAGGCACCCACTTAGTAAGTAAATAGCAGCGTAAGCGCTCAGGGCGCAGAGCATAAAGCTTGCTATGGCAATGAATGAATTTTAAGTAGTCATACTAGGGACTATCCGTATATTTAGATATTCGTGTTGATTTTTCGGATATCCAGATGAAGTTATTGTACCTAATGCACCTTTTAAGCTACAAACGTCGTAGAAAACACAATCGTACCTATTTTTTCTCCCTGCCCGCCTCTCTCTCTCTCTTCTCCCGCCAATAAAACGCAAAGTATATTTATATTTATTATTAATCTTTAGATGCGAAAATTCGGATATTCCGTTAAAATCCATTCATTTTGTTATCCGGATTTTCGGGTGTCCGAATATTTGGATTTTTTTTATCAACTATTCGAATATCCGGATTATACGGGAGTCAAAAAAATCCAGATAGAACTGCCAGCCCTAATGCATACATTCTATATGCATGTACATTGGGTTGGTAAAAAATATTAAAACTGGTATTTAATGCTCTAGGGGGTGGAGAGATTGTTCTATACCGCAAAAATATAGCCCTATTTTTAATTCTGAAATAAAAAAAATATCTAGGCAGTGCTCAAAGCGCTTAAAGGTTTTGATGTATTTTTTATGGTAAATAAAAATCGTAGAAATGGTATAGAGTTCTTGAAAGTCAATATTTTTCGGTTAGGGAACTTTGCTTCTTTTCAATAGACTTTTAATTATAACACCCAATCGTTTATTTTATTAGTTCTTAAAACTCTCGAGAGTTTTTTGTACGTCCCTAATTGCAATTTTTTGGTGTTTCTAGGGGTCCTATAAAAAAAGTTAATTACAAGCGTTTTTTTATGGATTCCTATTTCCTTATTTTGTGTTTTTGGGGATCCTATAAAAAATAGTTAGATACTCAATATTCAAATATGGTTAAATAAACATTGGGTTTTGTAATTGAAAATCTCCTGAAGAGAAAGAGAGTTTTCTGGTCGAAAAATGTCGATATTCAAGAATTCTATACCATTTCCACGATAAATGGTTTATTCCATATATAAAATGCGTAGGTATGTACATAGAAAACTTTGAGCGCTTTGAGGACCTCTTTTTTGATTTCAAAATAAAAAATTATCTCACCCCCATAATAAAAATTCCGGCTTTACTTTTTCGCATGCATTTTTGTACCACCCTAATGTATGCAATTAGACATGGGCGGTGGAAAAATCTCCCAAGGCAGCAAGCTCAAACAGGTGAGACTCCATTATGTTTGCACGCTATTAGCTAATGACGATAATGATGTGGCGGTTGAGTGGATCATAATAATGATGATGATTACTGTTGGGTGTCATGTTTACAATCCGCCATTATGCTCGTGTAGCAGCGAGCGACAACTATTTACAAATGTACTTGCAGGCATACATGCGCGCATCAATGTGAATGCGTGAAATGGTAGAGCAGCGGAAACTTGTTTTAATCCACCTGTTATTGACCTCATTTATGTATGTATGTATGCAGCAGGTTACATGAGCATTTATCCATACATACATGTGCACACATTTTCTAGTTCCTTTTCTAGTTTCGCATCCTTTGTAAGTACTTGCAAGTGTAAGTGTCAAGCTGTAGCTGTGTACATCGATTGACACTGGCAAATTACCCTCATTGCAGTTTGTGGGGCAAGTGATGAAAGAAAATTTGAGGGCGAATACTTATATGCATACAGCTCTGTACGAAATAAAAACAGGGTTTTTTCAGAGCTTCAAACTTTGTGCAATATTCGCGACAATTCAACAAATTAAAAAAAAACAAGTAAGAAAGTCTAAGTTCGGGCGGAGCCGAACATTAAATACCCGGCGCAAGTATTAAATATATGTTTTCCACCTTTCTGAAAGCTACCGCTACATGATAAGCCGGAGTGTATACATTTTAAGTAAATTAGTGTCCTTAAATTTCGAAATATTGAAATTTCAAGCATATCTGAAATTTACCGTTATATGAAAAGCGGCCCCAATTTTAGTCCGATTTCAACAATTTTCAACGGTTTGCTCTTATGTGGCAAGCACAATAACCATACCGAGCTTGGTACAAATTGCTAGAACGGTTAGCGAGATACATATATGTGATCACAAGTGGGC